GCGGGGGAAGGGGCGACGGCAGGGGGGAAGGCAAGCGATGTCACCGGGGAGGGGGACAACGACGAGGCATTGGTGAACAGGCTGCATCAGCGGAATACGCGGGAAGGAATGGAGGCAGCGGCGAAGCTGTGGGTGGATGACCTCCGCTTCTGGAACGAAAGGGAGGGATTTGCCATCGTGAAGTTGATCGTGGAGGCGCGCGGGTATCTTGTGGCGGTGGCGCGGGGAGAGCAGCCTCCGGCCATTCGTCGCAGCATCGTCTTGCCTCACAACAGCATCGCGCAGCAGAATATCGTGGACGAGTCAGAGTTCAACGCTGCGAAGGAGAGGGTGGTGAAGGTGCAGGGGATCGCTTTGCAGGTGATACACGGGTGGGTCTTCAAGTCTCAGAACAGGCAACGGGGGTACCACGCGACGTACCAGTACGCACTGAACCACACGGCCACCGACATCGCCCGCGCCATGTGGATGGGGGAGGACTGGCGTTATTGTGTGAGCCCCATGATCGTCCACCACACGCTCGACATGGATACGAAGCTGCCATTGTGGTTTGCGGGCGCCGACATCGAAGACAGGCATGAGGACGACGGCTTGGCGGCCTATCAGGGGGCGAGCATCCAGCGACTGGTGGGGGCTTTCACGAGCGCCGTGATCATTGCGGAGGCGACGGACAGCGGTCGGGTATCGCACGAAAGGTTGAAGCCCATGGCCGACGCGATGTGGATGATGCTCGCGGCGAAGCTGGATTGGCTGGGCACAGGCCCCCCGGAAGACAAAGACGACGGGAAAGGCGACGAAGAGGGAAGCGGGGGGGGTCGATGACACGTTTTCGTCATTTATGTTGTTTTTCCTCGCGCGCTGCTGCTCTGCCGTCACTTGTTCGAAGACGGCAGACCCACCGTCATCCCCTTCTGTACATACATCATGGGTGGCAGTCCGATTTCGTAGCCGCCGTCGTGCGGTCACGAACAAGTGGGATGGTGGTGGGTGTGGCGTGAAGGGAGGTTCTCGCCGAGGAGTTTTCGGTGGTGAAGATGGGAGAGATGGGAGAGGGGAGGGGGGGGGTTTGGCGGTTGTCGGTGGCGATTTTTTTATTTTTTTTTTCGTTTTAAACATGGTCGTGGTAGACGAAAGGGGGGGGGGGGGGGTTGATCAGGCACGTTCCAGGTTGATCACGGTGGCGGACAGGTTATCGTGGGGGTGTGAAATTATCCTATGTTTTTTTTATGTTTTTTTTTTTTTGTTCTTTTTTGGATCGTCACAAAGCGATGTTCGCATCTGTAACAACGAACATGTGACACCTGTCATTGGTATTGATGATGTGATCAGCCGCCTCATCAGCGCCCTTGTAGCTTCTTATGTTCATTGGTATTGATGACGTCCACACGTCGTTATCGCTTCTTGTGTTCACACGTTGTTGTCGTTTCTTGTGTCGTTCGTTATTGATGATGTCTACAGCTTCTTGTCAACTCCTTTGTGTTCCGTTTTCATTTGCATTCACGATTGTCAGGGCAATACTGACATGGAAAGTGGTGACGGATGTATGATTCAACCGATGCTTTATCACATATTGACGGATTTTCATACAAGCCATTCGAAATGCGAGCACAGATGAAGGCAATAAAATTGACACACACACAACGTCTTCCAAACAAAGTACTTGTCATTCGTCAAGAACACGGGGAACAACCTCTAGGACTTAAAAAAGATTACAAGATATGTTGTCTGGATGCTGTCACTACCGGCAACAGCACAACACGTCACAGTTAGGATGAAACAGGCCTTGAAGGCAACTCCGATCCCAACCAGCCGAAAAAAGAACACACAGCCCCGGAAATGGACTCCGTCACTCACACCTGTCACTCACAGTGGCACCACACTAGAAATCATCGCAAAGACAGACAACTACACGCGCGTCACGAAACCCCCGCCGACGACGCGATGGACTGTGCCATCGCCATAAACCCCACCCGACGACAACCTCCTAAGTGCGGCGCAATGCGAAAGTGCACGAAACTAAAGTGCGCCAAACAAGCCGCCGCATGCACTCCAACGCCCACCGATACAGGCAGCGGTCGATTAACTCCCTGCTCCCACGAATCTGTGAGCGACAGGGAGAACGACGGTAACACAGACCACCATCCACACACTTTCTCGCTGCCCGACGCCATCGCAGCCCGCCGCTCCGAAGCCGGGACTGCCATCGGTTCTACTCTCTCTCTCTCTCTCTCTCTCTCTCTCTCTCTCTCTCTCTCTCTCTCTCTCTCTCTCTCTCTCTCTCTCTCTCTCTCTCTGCGGCTGCATGCCGCCCGCTCCCAACGACTCGCCGTCTTCACTGCGTACCCATTCGTTCTGCCAGTGCATCCCGCAGGATCAGCGCATCCCCCGTTGACGACTCCATGCACATCTGCCTCAATGGGCGGTGCATCCCAAGGTCCACCCTGCGACGAACACCATCCGGCCCGACCTCCCACCGTAGATTGTCGTCGAACGGGATGCCCGCGTCGATGAGTATGTTGTGCAGAATGCAGACGGCGACGAATTGCTGCGGCAACGTCTCCATGTTCGTCTTGGGAGCGAAGGAACAACCTCCACATCCCCTTCAATCTGTCGAAAGCCCTCTCGACTGCTCCCCTCGCCGTCTTCTGCTTGTTGTCGAACTGCATCTCCGACGAGTGCTGTGATAGACCATCATAGGGGACGACTACCCATTCGGAGGGGGGGTAACCATTGTCGCCAAGCAGATACCCGTTCGTCCGCACACTGAAAGGCAGCATGATGGGTGGCCCAGTGAAAAGCTTCTCTGCCTCCGCGCGCGCCCATAAACTGGACAAGTGGACGATCCTCACGTCGTGGCAACTTCCCGGATATCCGACGAACACATCCAGCACGCGCAAGTTGACATCGACGACCACCTGAGCCTGGACGAAGAAACGACGTTTTCTGTCGTAGTAGTCCTCGTCGGGGCAATTGGCTGGCTTGTCGATGAAGATGTGGGTACAATCGATGCAGCCATTGCAGTTGGGGAAACCGTTGTCAGTGAAAGCACGCAAGACGACCGCCTTTCGCAGCCCCGTTGGCCACGATATCTTTTCCGGGTACGCACTCAGCAACGCCGAAGTTACATCCCGCACAGCCACCAACCCAAACTTTCTTCCAATGCCGAAGCTGCATATCCCGCTCTCGTACGTCTCCCCCGACACCCATCTGTTCAAAGCGTACGCTACAATGAGGTCAGGTTGGAGGGGCTCCCTATAGAAAGTGACACGCCGTTGAAGGAAGGAAGACAGAGCTTCCGCTATCTCCCGGAACACCCGTGGCGACATGCGCAGCTTCTTCTTGAAGTAGTCTTCCGTCGCATCGTCGCATTGCCGCAGATCCTCCCACACCCCCCCTGTCCGTCGCTTCATCCACCACCTGAGCGTCGCTCTGGGAAATGCTCCACACCCCATGGCATAGCACACCTGCAGGACGGCGTCGCAAATGGCACCACTGCCCTCTTCGTCCACATGCATGGACTGCAGCATCTTCTTCCAGCGTGCGTGAATGGCTGCTCTCATCCTCCCCTCGGTCCTCTGCAATTGACACCTGATGAGGATAAGGTTCACTGCCGCTGCCACAGCCCCCCTCTCCGCCTTGCTGAGTGTGTCATGGACCGCATCCCCGTTCACGTCCATCGCTCGTCGTCGCCAAGTGAAGAAGGCTCGACTTCAGTGGGAACAACAACGATGCTACGTCGTGACAACCGGAGTGCACGGCGTACACGTCGACGACGAAGGTGCGCGTAGTGAAGTAGACAACAGTGGCGATCGTGTGACAGCGGGCCTGCTGCTTCGGACGTATTCATGGACGTTCGGCGTGCCAGCAGAAGCCATGCAGCCGCCACCCCGTACCCAAACGGTTCCGCCGACGAACGTTGCTGCCGTCAGCCGTAAGGGACATCCACACGGCCGTCATTCGCTTACGGGAGTCGAGTTTCGAAATTCGAATCCGGGACTGCGCGCCGTTTTCGAAGGCTATTTTTTTTCCGCCGCGTACTTTCGAATTCGCGCCGCCCACAGCACCTGAACCAAGGACAACGCCACGGACACAACTCGCTGGACCAACCTCGCCTTCCCCCCCGCGTCCACGTATCGAAATATCTAACTGGCCGCGGGAGCACCCGAGGAATCGTCCTCGGGGAACATTTCCGAGGATGAGTGGAACGAAGGCGGGACTTTCCTCGGGCGACTCCAAGGAATCGTCCTCGGGGCCCGAGGATGCCCCAAGGAGTGTGGAACGAGCCCCAATGACACCGCATGCCGCGCGGCCCCTCCGAGTTTTGCTTGTGGCGACAAAATCTTTCTGCAAGACTGGGGTTGTGTACTGGCGGTTTAACACATGTCCAGATTCGGGTGCTATACCCAATCAACTTTTGGGGCCTCGCCCCAACGGTACCCCACGACTAATGTTTCGAAAAAAGAAAGAAAGACAAAAAAAAAAAAAAAAAGGGGGATGTAACTATGGTCAGCGGGCGAATGTCATGCACACGCACCGCAACTTTCAGGTTTCGGGGCTACCGGACCGCAAAGGCTAGCAGCGCCAGCGAAAAGGAAAACAAATTGTTGCATTGGCAGTTTGGTGAAGTTTGCTGTGCAGGGCGTCTATTTTAGCCTCGTACAGAAGTTTCATGGAAGTACTGGTGATTAAAAAATAAAAATAAAAAAAGTTCAAAACAAAAAAAGAAATTGAATAAAAATAATAATAATAATAATAATAATAATCTTTTAGAGGCAAAGAACTAACATTTCCTAGCACCCGGATCGCTGCGCTTACCAAGTCCAGGGGCGAGTGCCCACTAGGAGCGAAGCGGATTGGCTTTAAAGCCTCAATCTGGACGTCGTTGAGGATTTGAAGCTTGAATCTGGACATCTTTGCGGAGAGGTGCAAAAAATAGGGATTTATCTCTTGTTCTGCATATATCTGATTAAAGCACCAGTACACCATACATAGGCCCGCGGGTCTCGGTGGAACCCGCACCACTTCGGACGCTGCATAGTTTTTTTCAACGTCACCACTCCATGCCACGCGGCCCCTTCGAGTTTTTTTGACAAAAAACTTTCTGCATGGTTGGGGTCGTGTACTAGCAGTTAAACCACGACTGCCTTCCACAGGCAAACTCAAAACCTCTTAAGAATGCGGTGTACCCGTGTCTCATTCTTCAGAGGCCAGGGGCCACCAGACCAAAATCGCTGTCGCCGCCAGTCCAAACCAGAAATAAAAACGTTGTGCTTGGGCTTCGGCAACGGGCGTCGTTATTCACTCCTTAGGAGTTCCTTGAGCCACAAGGAATTTTCTGGTTTGGACCTCTGTGGCAGCCTACTGCACGAGGAGTTCCTTAAAAAATAATAATAATAATAACAATAAAAAAAAAAGATGACCCGGTGTTATATTTGAACAGAACGCCCAAGCATTGTATTCAAATGTGCCATGTCTTGTGCGGCGAGTATACATGGGTTCCAAAGAGGGAGGGGCAGGGGGTACACATCGGTTTTGAAAGTGCTTGAAGGGGGGTTTAGTACCAAGGGGTGTGTTTTGGTTTGATTCCCCCCCCCCCCCACCCACCCCCCCCAATATATAAGGAATCCTCAAGGGGTCCTCAGCCAGAAGTTGGTTGGATTGTAATTCAATTTGATGCAACATATTTTTTTAACATAACTCTTTGACTTTCTTTTTGTGCAAATTTCGGGTCCCATCGAAGTTGCTAGTACTTGCTACCAGTTTACAGTTTTCTATAAAATGCATATTTATTTATTTTTTTAATGTTGGAGAGAAAATATGACTATAGAGTTGACGCGTGAACAAGTCATGCCTATACTGGGGTCTGGTCCGACCTACCGTTGTTGAGATTAGAAAACTTAACGGTGTGATGCCATTTCGACATTCATAAATTCGAAACACGAAATTAAAAACTGAAAAAAAAACGCTAGAAACAGGTTTTCTCCTAATTTTTTATAACGTACCTCGGAGAAATGAAACATGTCTGGAATAAAAAGCGACAACTTCTCAAAAAAAAAAAAAAAAAAAAAAACATGTCTGGACTCTGGAACAGTCAGAGCGAATGTCTCCGTGAAAAAGGGATACTCCCCGTGGCGAGGGGACAGGAGGTCGCCATTTGTAAAATGGACAGGGACAACGTGCATGGCCAAATGCATTCATTGCCCAAAGAAGGAAACGAGTTTCAACTTTGACGCCAGACAGCCAAACACAGCTGTCAGAGTTCCCCGTTTCAGGAGGCAATGATGTCTAAAAAAACAAGAAAAAGGAAAGGCACTGCAGTTGAGAAATGTACCCCACCCTCGGTAGGGTAGTTTTCTCCATTGAAAATGGTTTCCCGCCCAAACCAAAAGGGCCAAAGCATACTACAAAACGGATTTCACGTCAAAGAAAAATTATACAAAATGACAAAATCTAATAGGTTATTCTCCTGTATTTCGGTACCATTAGATCGCAATACATCAACAGCAGAGCTCCGTCCCACCGTACCACACGTGATAGAAAGTGGTGTACGAGACCCGACACGTGAAGGTTTCGTGAAGACGTGTGGTGTACGAGACAGCGGGTGTAGGCTGTTGACCCTACTTGAAGCTGACGTGGAAGTGCCAATAGAGGCGGCGAACTGATAGTACGCGGAAGATATGGCGAGTGACCAACGTCACGGTGGAGGAGGGGGCCAAGGAATTAGTCAAGACAGAGGACCACTGAGACCTCCCGTAAGGAAGGTCACTAGTCTAATTACTAATTAGTGCACGAACCCAAGACCAAGATGGCGAGGTTCCCATCAGTCAAGATCCTCGAGCTCGTGAAACTCTAAGAGAGGAAGTTCCTATTCACCTCGAAGGCATCACAGAGGCACCAGCTCTGAGGATTGGGAAGTACATTCTCGGATCAAGGAGATCGGACAAAGCGTTGCCGCAATGAAAAAGTGCATCAAAGCTGACCGCGCGAAGAAAGAAGCCAAAATCCGAAAGAAAGTTGAGAAGGCGGCGGCCGAGAAATGAGCGACGAAGGACTCGGAGAAGGAAGCAAGAGAGAAGAAAGCTAGGTTGGAAGAAGCAAAATTGGCGTCCATATAGAAAGAGTCGGATGCGCACGTGAAGGTAACTGTGAAGGAAGCTACGAACGAAGCATGTTCAGAGTTTCGTGACGCAATCGTTGCCGCGAAGCTGACGGAGAAGTTGAAAGCGAAAAGCAAAGTTACTTACGTCCCGAACGACGGCGAGTTAACTTTCTCGATTACGGATTCGTCGGCAATGGTACCGAAGAGATACGTGAACAAAAAGGGAGTTTGACGATTAACAAAAAAAGGAAAAGGGGACCTACGCTGGTATTCCAAGATAGCCCACCACTGGAAGGACAGGCTAAGCGAACTCCAAAACATACCCCTAAATGGGGTATCCTTAAGCCTGAAGTTCACACCAAGACTGACCCTATCGAAGATTATGTTGAAATTGAAAATATCACCAATGACCAAGGAGCGTTTTGCGTCATTAGAGAAACAAAAGATTCTTGAAAGCATCATCCGAGTCGTAGTAGGTCGTCCTAAGCATAGAGATGAGGTTATGCGTCAGCTGAAAAATCATGACGCTATCGCACTTCAAAACCTGTGCGACGACGAAGGCGTGCTGTATAACAAAAACGTCGACGCCATCTTCGATGTGGCTTAGCATTTGTACGTACAATGCATAAAGCACGGAGGATGAGGGTGAAGGGCTTGGGGATGGCCTTGGTATTGCTGAGCATTTGAGGCTATGTGAATTTCTGGTTGAAGTGAGAGGTAAGCTGGAGAGTTGCAATGCAAAGCTATAGACTAAGTAAAGGTGCACGGGGTCTTACCGTCTAGCCGCTGGAACTCCGCATCTTCACGGAGAATTCAATTTCACTGAGCCCATGTTGGAGACAAGTACATCTCTTACGAGGAGTTTCTTTCATATGTCAAGGGCTGGTAAGGTTTTGCGCGTTGTATCGAATTAAACCACATGCTCCACCGCTTGTGCAGGCCCCCGTCAATTCCTTTGAGTTTCAACCTTGCGACCGTACTTCCCAGGCGGAGTGTTTAACGCATTAGCTAGGTCCCTCATCGAAAACGGGACAGTCGTTACACCATCCGCGCAGGTCGCTACTTAGGCCCTCGCCGCACTACTCTCCAAATGTGCAAAATGAGAATGAATCTTGTGCTAGAACGTGGAAATATACATTGCCACCTTTTTTGTCTTTTGCGCATGTGGAGATTAGTGCAGCGAGGCCCTTATGCGTGCTTCCCCAAGTGCACAAGGCCGAAGGGCTGCAGGGTATGCTTCCCCGAAAACGACCGCTCGAAGAGCCACCTCGTCTCGTATAAGCGCTAGGGGGCTTTTGCATCACAGCTCTAGGCACGAAGTGCAGCAAGCCATGATCATCGACACAAAGTGCAGACGCTTCGCGTCTGCTCTTCAAGCCTAGCGGCTTACCTTCTATTGTTGCCAGTTGAAGGTAAGCCGTATGCCCCTAGTGTGAAGTTCGGTCGCACACTTATTTCACATAGCCTTCAATACTCGACAATGCCCACCGCAAGTTGGAAGAACTTTTGCTTATTGTAGTAGTGAGGTGATCGATTGCGGGTTGCATCCTCTGGAACAGGAAGTGTGCAGAAGCGGTGTTGACGCGGTAAATTAAATACCGACCGTAAGCTGGAAGAACTTTTGT